GTATATCTACTGATGTAATTTAAAATTATTTGAACAAAGGTAAAAATAAAACCTTTAGAAGCAAGTCTACATAAATATTTATTTCCATGTTCAAATTGAACATTAATCTTTCAGTTAAACAAACTTAACGTAAACACTACTTTGAATTTAGTTTCCTTCTTTTCTCCTGCCTGTTGTGCACACATTGTTCACACTCTGAATACAGTCCTAATGTTTGACCATCTCTGTCTTAGTTTTAAAGTTGTCTTGCAATAATTTACAATATTTGTCTGGCTTGGTCCTGTGTGACTGTGTTCTTGTTTTTGTGACTTTGGGGGACTTTTTCGTGCCCACTGGAACGCTGGGCCCGGGTCTCCTCACTGGAACTTAGACTTTATGAGTCAGAACATCACTTCAAGTGGTTCTGATTGAGGTCTAATGCTTCACCTCCACAGAACAAATGTTTAGTGATCATAATTTATCAGATTTAAAAACTTTGCCCCCTGGTGTTCAAAATGGGGAAGTACATTTGCTTAACAGATAAATGTAAGCTTCTCTGTAGCAATAGAAAAAAATAACTTCAAATAATTTCTTTTATCCTGTTTGTAAACTTTGTATTAAAAGCTTTTTATAAGTGTAGAGAATGGAGTAAATCAGTTACTATTTGAGCATGAATTTGTGCTCCTTTCATTTTCTCAAATATAAATAAAACAATAGATTTTATTCTGAGATGTCAAAACAAAAGACAAGTTTACCAACTAATAAAAACAATCTACAATTATCTGAATAATTTCTGTTGAATTTCAAGATATCCAGTTTTATGCTGATAGTAATATTCTCATAGCCTGGTTAAAACCGGACCCTTGTCTTTTGCTTTGCTTTATACAAGGGTCTGCACTCTCAGCTACAGAGAAGTGATTCTTGCTGGAGGCGTGGCCTCTGCTGAAGTTTAAAATGATTGGATCAGTTGGCTGCAGTGTATGTGCATGCTAGCTCTGCTGTGAAGGAGGCTAAGCTAATAAGCTAACCAGAAATTGCGTGAGCTGTAAACAACCCTACTGAGAGAGAAGTACCGATCCGAACGAGACGACTAAATGAGAGCTGCTGCTTTGTCAGACTAATTTAATTTAATTTGAAGCCTTATCAACACAGACTGGCTTCATTCACTTCCTCCACTGCTGTATGATAAAATAACTAGCAGACACTGCGCAGAGCATCGACGTAATTCAAAACTCCTCCTTCTGTTCTCTGATTGGCCTGAATGAAATCTTTCTGAAGAATTCCTTGTCTGTGGGAGGAGTCCCAGACGGAGCGGTGAAGGAAACTAGAYWTGAGCGGAGCTGCGTAGGAAGGTGAGGACCAGGCTAGTGTTGTTACAACACATTAATCAGAACAAACATCAGAGTTAGGACAAAAYGCTTTGGGTCATTTTGATGGCAGTAAAAGGATTAAAGTTGGTTTGACGTATTTCTGCCTACAGCCAAAATAAGTCCTGATAATTTTTAAAAATATGAATCTCTGACCTCTAGTTTTCCCTTCCTTTCAGATGAAGAGTTCTGTTGAGACYTCAAACCTTGAAGATGATTTTCAGAGAAATGAGCTGAGAGCATAAACTGTGAGGAAAGATAAAAATCACTCTGATGACGATTGTGACTCTTTGTAATCAGGGTAACATACCGTTAGGGTCATTTCACGCTGCATCAAAGACAGTCAGCTATAAGAAGGTGACTCTGATCCTCTCATGTGTGACACCATGAAACAGGTTAGCTAACAGACCTCATTCAGAGGAGACAGTCTGGTTCTGAACAGAAGACTTTCTGGACTTGTTCCCTTCTAGGCTTTTTGTTTTTAAATCGGCAGTGTCTGTGAATYAACCTACAACAACCCATAAAAACTCAACAAAAATCAAACAGGATGCAGCAGCTAAAGAAGACAAAACAGAGACTCTGCTCCTCCTGATTGGACGGAACAACAGGAAGAAGAAGAAGCACAGCGTGTGAAAAGTGCGAACGTTTCAGCATTCATTAAGAAAGGACAGGAAGTGAAATTTCTAAATGGCTTAAAGCTTTAGAGTTCTCAGCGCTCGCTTGACTCGGCAAACATTTTGTCATGTTTGTGAAGGATATGATGATTACAATGTGTTGATGAAGAGTAGGTGTGCTAGCCTCCTGGCACCATCTCAGCAGGACTTTTTGCATAAAATGTAAATCTCCATCATCGTTGTCCTGATTATTTTTATTTTCAAGCAAACTCCTCCCCCTCGTTCGTCCCCTGCCGACTTCAAATATTTCTTCACAAGCAAGAAGAATTTTTCCCCAATTTTTAAGCTTCTTTTTACTTTGTTTTCTTTGTCGTTGTTGGTGGTTGTTGTTGTTGAGTGGTTGTAGTTGCTGAGCAGAAGGAGAGTAAAATGGGAGTTCTCCTCCTTCTCAACCTCCTCCTGCGGGGGTTGCTGCAGGCTACGACCCCTCCCGCTCTGTGGAGGAGTCGGCGCCCCGCCGCACCGGTCGGTCCAGGCTCCTGGCTCGGCCGCTGTTCAGCGTCGGGCTTCGTGACGACTTCAGCAGCTTCTCCTCGAGCTCGTGCAGGGATGGCTCCTTGTACATGCAGACTACAGAGGAGGAAAACAACTTTAATACCTTCATGAGCTCCTGATGTTTCTTCTGATGCATACTTCACATTTACAGCATGTCTCACTGTGTGGATGCTATGCCTTCAACTCACTCCCACGTTTAGAAAAAGTATTGTTTGTTTACTTCTAATAAAAGAGTCTTACATGTAAGATACAAAGTA